TTTTTCCCAGACCAATACCGAGCTCTCAGAAGAGCTTAAAGATCTAAATCTAGAGATAGCAGCAAAACTCTTACGGAGTCAGATACCCTACAACGTCCCTCCACCCTCAGAGTCGGGTCTTGTCCTGAAATACCCCATCTGCTTGCAGTGCGGCCTATTTTCAGAATGTGGATGTGGTCATAAGTCCCAGTCTGCTTACATTCTCGTCTACCCACAGATCCACCTTATAAAAACCCCTGAAGGCCGTGGTGAGATCCGGACGCATCTTGGTTTTAGGTTGCACATTAGAAAAAGACCTCAAGTCTCAAAGGATTGTGGGAGAAACAGAGCAGACACATCGAAGAACCCTTCCTCATCATTGCACAGGAAAGATAAAATCTATACTCCAGCTTCCAAGAGTCCAACTTCTACAAGAGATTTCCAGTCCAGATCTTCCCAGTCTCCGGCTTCTGTACCAGTTCACAGGAGGCAAAAGAAATGGGGCAGCCATGGTGTGGCAGGGAAGACAGAAGCCAAAGACTCTGGGCATTATGAATTCTGTGAGGTTCTCTCCGCGTCAGAGAGTGACTCTAAGAGTAACCAGCATGAAAAATGGGCTAAGTCAAGACTCAGTAAGACCTCAGACTTAAAATATCCAATGAAGGAAATCACCAAGGAACTTAAAAAGCAAAACATAAAGCTCTACAAAAACAGTAGACCCACAGAAGAGTGTCCTTCTGGAACAGTGACAGATCCATCAAGACGTACTAAAACCAGCACTGTTTCTTCAAAGAGACAACCGAAGAAATCCTCCCAGCCCAGGTTCATCCAGCTGCTTTTTCAGGGCCTAAAGGAGGCATTCCAAAGAGCACATAGAGCTATGGCTATCACCAGACAGAAGCCTGAGGACAGGGCTATTCCAGACAATTTGTGGTCAAGCAAAAACTTGTACCCCGAAGAAAAAGACGAGGATGATTGTTTAACAGGAGATGGCAGAGGGGCCAGCACACCTGTAATCAAGCAAAAGTTCATGGGTTCCACCCCTAAGAAAGAAGACAGATTGCAGGAAACATGTGACCAAGCTCAACAATCAAAACAAGTGAGCTCTCTCCAACCCAGACCTTTGGAATTGGCGAAGAACATTGATTCTGAGAGGAATGCCGTTATCCAAGCTACTTCAATCCTACAGCCTTTGAGTAGAGTTCTAAATGTCAACAGCAGAACAAAGAAAAACTATGAATTCTTCAGTCCAGAGTCTAAGAACTGTTCTAAAGTAGGAGCCAAATTTCAGGTCCAAGAGACACTCGTGCCTGACTCCCTTCTGAAGAGAACCATGCAGAGTCACTTCAAACACGAGCAAGAACAACACAGGACCTATCACAGCCTGTCTGAGAGATCTCATCGGAGAAGCCACAGTCCTCAGAGAAAGCCTAGGAGTCCCTCTGACAGAACCCTTAGCAGCCTCTCGGAGAGGAGATGTTGCAGTCCCCCCCAGAGGAAGGATGGCAGCCCCTCTAGAAGAACCCCTCAGAGTATCTCTGACAGGAGCCCGCCCAGGCTCTCTAAGGGGAGAGGTCGCAGTCCCTCAGGGAGGAGCCAACCCAGCCCTTCTGGGAGAAGGCCTTGCAGTTCCTCAGGGAGGAGCCCTCGTAGTAGTACCCCTAGTAGCCCTCGAGAGAGAAGGGGACGTAATCCCTCCCCCAAGGGTCAGCTTGGTCTTTATGGGAGGAACCAACACAGTCCCCCATATCAGAGATGCCGCAGCCCCTCCGAAAGGAGCCATCTCAGTCCCATCCAGAGGACATGGGACAGTCCTTCAGAATGGAGCCATGGTACTCTCTCTGAGAGACCCCCTTCCAGACGCTCTGGCAGGACAAGTCAAAGCTCTTCTGGAAGAGGCTACCGCAGTCCCTCTAGGTCCAGGCTCCACAGGCCTTCTTCCGGACTCCACCACAGCCATTCTCAGAGAACTCACTACAGCCCCTCTGACAGCAGACGCAGTCACTCTGAGAGGAGCCGACACTTAGAGAGGAACCAGCAAGGTCACCATGCGAGACCCCATCACAGCCCCAAGGGAGGCTCCGGCACAGTTCCCCTAAGGAGAGACCCAGACATAGCTGGTCTAAAGAGTTCCTGCAAATCTTTACCTAGCTGCCCCTTCCTCTTCAGCCACTGCCTGCACCCTTAGCAATCAAAGAACTATCTAGGAGGGGAGTGAGAATGGGCCCGTAATTTATTTAAGATCAATAAAGGGGTAATAATTGAACTCTCTTTGCAGCCGTAAGATCACTTGTGGGGTGGGTGGGACTGGATGTGCAAATGCCCGGAGCTTAAGGGTTGGAGTTCACGAGGACCCCTGAAATCTTCAGGCTTCGCCCACTTGCTCCAAGGAGTTTCTGATCCTCCTGCCTCCACCTCCCAAATGCTAAAATTATAGGCATGTGCTATAATGTCTGGCATATGTGGTGCTGGGGATCAAAGCTGGGCGTCATGCGTGCTAGGCAAGCCACAGCCCTCTAGAATTAAAATGGTCTTAAAAATTATTTGTGTATGTATTACGTGTGTGTGGATGCAGGCATGCCTGTGTTATGCTGTGCCTGTGGAGTTGATTCTGTCCATCTACTGTGGGTCCTGGGGACTGAACGCTCATCAGTAGTAGACTTCTGCAGCAAGACCTTTTAACCACTGAGACATTTTGCCGGTCCTATATTGACGGTTTTAAAAAATATTTATTTTATGTGTATGGGTATTTTGTCTGCATATATGTCTATGTTCCATGGTCTGTACACCACATGCATACCTGGTGTTCCCCAAGGCTAGAAGAGGGCATTGGATCCCATGGACTGGAGTTACAGAAGACTGTAAGTTTCTAGGTGGGTCCTGGGAATTGAATCCTGGACCTCTGGGAGAGCAAGCAGTGCTCTTAACTGATGAGCCATCTCTCTAGCCCCTTAGTTAAAACAAAACAAAAAAAAAGGTCAAATGTCGTGGCACAGGTTTTGAACCTAAGCACTGGGGAATCTGAGCAGATCACTGAGTTTGAGGTCAACCCGGTCTACACTGTGTGTCTCCACTGTGTGATGGGCAGATTTTGAAGGACATGGCTAACATCAGTAAAGTTAGGGAAGAGGCTTTTGTACGACTGAGGTGGGAGACGCTGGCGGTCTGGACTGGTGGTCGTATGGCCAGACAGATATCAGACTGGGAATACGTGTGAAGACTAAGGCCTGGGCTGGGATGTAGCCTAGCTGGTAGAGCACTCTAGTGTTCGCTAAGCTCTGGGTTGATCTCCACCACTGAATAAATTGGCGAGGCAGTGCAAGCCTGCAATCTCAGCACTGAGAGGAAGAGGCAGGAGGATCAGAACTCCAAGGTCACCCTTGGCTATATATGAAATTTGAGGCCAGCCTGGGCTACACAAGACTTTGCTTAAAAACAAAATCTGAAAAAAACAAGACAAAAACAAAATTGGGGCTGGAAGGATGGTTTAGCAGTTAAGAGCATTTGTTGCTCTTGTAGAGGACCTGAGTTTGGTTCCCAGCACCTACAAGGTGGCTCACAACCACCTGTAACTCCAGTTTCTGATACCCTCTTCGGACCTCCATACATGGGTACCTATGTAAGCAAAACAGTCATATACGTAAAAATAAAATATACCTTAAAAGGTAAAAAGTAGACAGACAGAGAGGTAGATAAGTAGATAGATAGATAGACAGACAGACACACAGGCAGACGAGATAGAGTCCTGAGAACTTGCGGACAGCTTACATGGGGTAAAGGGAGGAGGGGTATATATGAAAAAGCTCAAGCTGCTTCCCAGAAACAGCTGACATTACTAAGCTCTTACATCTAAGCCTTTTGCAGATTTTCTTGTTCTTCACCACAAATACCATCGCCACTCTCCTTTATAATACTACGTGGTAAATACTGTCATCAGTACCCCCATTTTATATGAAGAAAACCAAATCCCAGGGTTGGAAAGGGTGAATGACCTAAGTTTATACAAGATGAAAAGTTGAACCAACGTTTGAACTCAAGGAATTTGAGGTCGCAAATGTGTTCATTACCTCTGTGCCACACCCAGGAAAGACACAGAGGTATGTTAAAAAGACTTGGGCAGGCTGCAGAGATGGCTTAGTGGTTAAGAGTGTGTACTGCTCTTGCAGAGGACCTGAGTTCAATTCCCAGTATCTACATATGAAGGCTCATAACCGCCTGAAGCTCTCGCTCCAGGGGATCCTACACCTCTGGCCTCTGCAGGGACCATCATTCATGTGGACATACCCACACATGGACCCTCACATAGACACATTGTGGCAGTGTGGGTGGGACTGCCTCCCACTGGCTCAGATGTCTGAAGACTTGGTCCCCAGGAGGTGGAACTGTTTGGGAAGGATTGGGAAGTATGGCCTTGTTGGAGGAGGTTTGTCACTGCAGGTGAGGCTTTGCTGTTTCAAAAGTTTTCTGCCATCTCCAGTGCTGTCTGTTTGCTGGTTCCACGATGTGAGTTCTCAGCTGTCCAGGCCACTGTGCTCGCCCTGCTCCTATCATGGAACTGTAAGGTCATTTTGTGCGGCTTTTATAGGCTGCCTTGGTCACGGTGTTTTGCCACAGTAATCGAAAAGTGACTAAAACACACCCAGTTCAAAGTAACTAAATTTTAAAAATGTAAAAACTTTAAATATATAAACAGTAATAATACAAACAAGAAACAACCACTTAAAGGAGAACCTTGCAAAGGAGAAGCTAAAACATTAGGACATATTCAGAGCTAGGGGGACAGCTCTGCAGTCAGGAGTGTGTACTGCTCTTGTAGAGACTGGAGTCTGGTTCCAGCACCTTTACCAAGGCGGCTCACAACCGCCTGGAACTCCAGCTCCAGGAGGTTCAAAACTCTCTTCTGACCTTGGCAGGCACTGGCACTCACATGCACAAACCCACACATCAACATTCTTATTCACAGAATTTAAAACTATTTTTAAAAAGATATATTGATCTAGAGTAGGAAGGTGTTTGGAGTAAGTGCACCAGGAAGGGCTCATGTTGTTGGGGTGTGTGGGAAGCAGTGCTCACACACAGGACAGAAGCAGCCCACAGGCCTCCTAGTGGCCAGCATTCAGTTCCACAGCTCTTACCTCTCAGCAGTGCGGAGCTGCCTTGCCTCCAGGGCCAGTTTGCTCAAGGTTTTCCACGTTGCCTCTGTTTCTGGGGTCATCTCCAGGGTCTCCAAGAAGGCTGTTGCCCTGGAGAGGAAGGGAAGAAAGCTCAGGAGTGAAGCAGGATCTGGAGGAGCAGAGGGGAACCCTGGTGCTGCTGGGGCAGCAGGAGGGGGGAAGAAAGGCCAGAAACACCGCCCTTTGTCTAGGCCCCTCCCATGATTCCAGGGCTCCATTGAGCTGTGACAGTTTAATGGGTCACTGCAGGTATCTGCTAGGCCCACACTGGCTCAGCACCACACTGGCTGTTAGCAGCTCTCACCGGGTGTAGTTGCCATCATCGATGGCTGTTCCAAACTCAATCAGGCCCTCGTCCAGGGTGTAGACCACAGTCATCACCCCTTCGGTCACCATCACCTCTGTCTTCCCTCCACCTCGCTCCAGACCTACAACGTCACCCTGCCCAGTATACAAAGAGTGGCATCCAGTTCTTCAGTAGGAAACAGACTTAGGGGTGTGTGTGCACGCACAGACTGTGGGTGCGTGTGTGACTGCACTTGTCCACGTGAGCAGGCCAGGAGACACGCTCGGGTGTCACTCCTCAGCTGCTTCCACCCTTTCTTTCTTCAACCAGGATCTCAGCTTGGCCCTGGAATTTACCAAGTAAGCTGGGCTGAGCCCTAGGGGTCTGCCTGTCTCTGCCTCTCCAGCTCTGGGATTTAAGTGTGCACTAACTGTTGTTCTCTTGCAACACTACAACTCCCAGCATCCCTCTGGACTCCAGCGCACGCAAGCGCGGGACACATTTCCCAGAAGCCTTTGCATCCTCCGTTAAAAGCAAGGACAAGTCACGAGTTCGCCCCTTCTTGCCCCTTTTTCCTTCCCGCCTTCCCTACTGTGTTTGCACGCCCCTCCCCACCTGTTTGTTGCCCCTCCTCCATTAAAAGTGCACCCACGTGGGACTGCCTCGTGTCTGTGTCTTTCCTCGCGTAACCCTCGTCTAACCCGCGGGAATTAAGAACAACATTTTGGTGCCATCCTCGACCCGGAGACCTCTCTGTCCAGTGCCCGAGGCTTTTGCCTCTGGGTTTCACCGACAAGGTCTAAAGAACCTACAGCCTTCGCTCACCGCCACCTGTTCTCCACGGCCATTTCCACCGCTTCATCCTTATCCGTGAGTTACCCCGGGTTAACTTCCTTACCCCCCGGGCGTTCAAAGACTGTCCGGCCGGCTTTCTTTGCGCACCCCGGGCTAGGGCTAGGTTGCTAACCTGCCTCCCCCGGTTTTTTGCCCTCGGCCGAAATGCTCAGTCCGCGCACCCGGAGTTCGGTGCTCTGGGCTTTTTCTCTTCCTTTTTTTTCTAACTTTTTCCTGTCCCCTTTCGGGCCGCTCCTTGCGGCACCTCCTAAAGAGCTTCATCGTCTCCTCCCAGCCGGGGCTTTTTTTCTCCCCCGTACGGTTGCTGGGTTCGGGGCAGTTAAGTGTTAACACGCCCCAAATTCGCTCGGACGCCTGCGTTTTTGGCTTGCCGTGTTCACGGTACTTTGTTGGTACCTTTTTGTGGCTGGGCTACACTTCGGCCATGGGCTCAAAAAATTCTAAACCAATCCCTCCATCTTCCCCACTCGGGCAGCTTCTGGAAGCTCTCGAACCTCACGCCCTCATTCCCTCCATAAAACTTTCCAAGTTAACACGGCTTTGTTCCAAGACTTGGCCTAAATACAATTTACAAGGCTCCGTCCGCTGGCCTTCCCAGGGATCATTTGACCCTGACACCCTGCGGGAGCTGGCAAATTTTTGTCACCGGTCAGCTAAATGGAAGGAATTAATGTACGTGATGGCCTTCTTTTATATGGCTCTAAAAACTGACCCATCTACCTCATCACACTGTTCACCGGCTCACATGTTTTTGGCTCTACCCTCCCTCCAGGAACCCTCCGCTCCGACCATGGACCCCGCTGACGACCCCCCGCCTCCCCGACCTCGTGGGACCACTCCTTCCCGCCCTGCCCAATCGGGGGCCACCTCCTCTATCCCCCCCTTCAAAAGTTTCTTTTAGGTACAAAAAGGAGTCGCCTACACCTTCTCCCCACGCCTCTAAACGCTTCATTCCTAGGTCTCCAGGAGTTCCGCGTAAACATCCTTCTGGGTCGCCTTCCCGTTCCTCTGAATCCCCCAAAAAATCTCATTCCCCCCGTCTCATATATCCCAGCCTTTCCGATCCAGCTTCACCTAACTTCTCTCGCAGCAGGACTCGACTGCGAAGACAATTAACAATTTCTTCCTGTCACAGCAGGCGCAGGCCGTCCGAATCGACTTCGGATTCTTCCGTCTCACCTCCCCGCCCCACCCCTCTGCCTCGGTCTTCCAAGACCCCCTCAGGCGCTAACCCCACCCGCCGCCTTGCGCCTAATTTCACCCCTCCCCTTACGTGCTCGCGAGCCGCTGCTGCAGCAGCAGACCCTGATCAACCCAAACCAGCTACCGTTCTGCCCTTACGAGAGGTAGCTGGGGTCGAGGGCCCACTTCGGGTGCACGTCCCCTTCGCCTTATTGGAACTTTCACATATTTCTAAGCTACTAGGGTCGTATACGGCTAACCCCACTAATTTCACAAAAGAGTTTCAATATTTAACCCAATCTTACAGCCTAACTTACCATGATATTTATATGATTCTCTTTAACAACTTGCTTCCTGAGGAACGCCGACGGGTCTGGGAGCAGGCGAGACTGCATGCTGATGAAGTACACCAGCCAGGACTTCAAACATCAGTGACCAACTACACCAGCCAGCAACCCTGGACATCATTGACCAACTACACCAGCCAGCAACCCTGGACATCAGTGACCAACTACACCAGCGACCGCAAACGCCAATGGGACATTGCCAAGATAATCGGACATTCCCTGGACCCCTCAACGCCCAAAGCCAGCAGGAAGCAGCCATGAGAGACTGGACTACGCCCCCATTCCCTACCCTTTAAGGTCCCCCAATTTTTTTTAATCAAACCAAAAGGGTGAAATGTTGTTCTCTTGCAACACTACAACTCCCAGCATCCCTCTGGACTCCAGCGCACGCAAGCGCGGGACACATTTCCCAGAAGCCTTTGCATCCTCCGTTAAAAGCAAGGACAAGTCACGAGTTCGCCCCTTCTTGCCCCTTTTTCCTTCCCACCTTCCCTACTGTGTTTGCATGCCCCTCCCCACCTGTTTGTTGCCCCTCCTCCATTAAAAGTGCACCCACGTGGGACTGCCGCGTGTCTGTGTCTTTCCTCGCGTAACCCTTGTCTAACCTGCAGGAATTAAGAACAACACTAACACGCTTCACTTTCTTGCTGTATGTTCTGGGGCTCAAACTCAGGCCCCTCTACTTGAACAGCAAGCACTTTACCAAATGAGTTATCTTCTCAACTCTTAGACTGATATTCTTTTTAAAGTATATTATTTTGTCAGGCTGTGGTAGTACACACCTTTAACCCCAGCACTCAGGAGGCAGAGGCAGGTGGATCTCTGTGAGTCTGAGGACAGCCTGGTCTACAGAGTGAGTTCCAGGACAGCCAGGGCTGCACAGAGAAACCCTGTAATATATATCTATATAATTACTTTTTCACGTTTATTTATTTAGCATGTGTGTGTCCATCCATGTGGGCTCTGAAGACTGAACTCAGGTCATCAGGCTTAGCAGCAAGCACCCTTATCCATGGAACCATTTCCCCAGGGGCCAGACTGAGATAGTCTTGGGGGTCCTCCAGTTAAATTACAACTTGAACCTGAACCCAGAACATATTTTTTCTTTTCCGGCACTGCTTAGTTCACGTGACAAAATCACTAAGACTGTTCCCCACCTCTATGCTACCCATCCCCCTTTAAAAAAAAAAACAAACAACCAAAACAAAACAAATCAGTAAAATGACATTTTTTAGCTGGGTGGTGGTGGCCAACGCCTTTAATCCCAGCACTTGGGTGGCAGAGGCTGTGAACTCTGTGAGTTCAAGGCCAGCCTGGGCTACTAGAGCTAGTTTCAGGACAGGCTCCAAAGCTACAGAGAAACCCTGTCTCAAAAAACCAAAAAAAAAATAATAATAATAAATAAACAATAAAAAAGAGAAAAGACAGAAGGGCAAAGGCCAAAAGCTAAAATCTGAGCAGCAGGAAAGGGGTGCTGCTCTGAAGGCAAATGCATGTATCCGACAATGAGCCTCAGGCCTTCAGCACGTGGATGGGCTGAGTCAGTCTCTGAGTAAACCCAGCCTAGCCCGTTCTGTAGCAAAGGGCACCAAAGCAAGCGGAGCACAGCCTTACCATGGATTCTGATTGCTACAGAAGCAAACAACCATCTCAGCAGGAAAACAAGTAGAGACTGCCTTCAGAGTAACATGTGGGTGTATGTGTGCAAGCACACGCACATACAACACAACCAGTACAAAAGAATAAATTGCAATTGTAAACAATAATTTTAGGTCTTTAAGCATTTTAGATATTAAAAATGGCAGTTATAGATAATGCATTGTAATAAAATTAAATATTACATATTTGAAGATATAAAAATGACATGGAAAATTAACTAAGGAAAGACTGGAGTGGCTGGGCATACTGGAAAAAGAATCAAATAAAATTTTATGGAAGTGAAGCCTGAGACATTGAACATGGAGAAGTTCCTGGCCCAAATTTAACTCTGAAGCAAAACCCCAATTGTGGCATAAGCAGCAGACAAGGAAAAGAGTGAGCCAAGGAGCTGAAGGAGAGATCTGAAGATACTATCTGGAATGTTCATGGAGCAGAAGAAGGAGACACAGAAGAAGCTGAAAAGGCAAACAAGATGGAGCAAGAAACGTAGCATATGCTGAGTCAGAATTCCTGGGAGAATGGTAACAGCGTGGCCGAGAAGTTCCCAAGACTGAGCACAATGTGTGTGTTCAGAACTACATGAAACCCAACATATGCTGCATGGGATATCATTTAAATTCATGTAAAAAGGCTGGAGTACAGCTCAGTACCAGAGAATTTACTTCTAATGTACAGGTTCAGTCGCTAGCCATCCACTGCAAAAACAACCCCCAAACCCTCTAACCCGATGGGTGGCCCGTGACTACAGTCCCTATCTCTCAAGAGGCAGGGCAGGAGGACAGCCTGGGCCCCGAAATCTGAGGCCAGTCTGTGCGATATGGCAAGACCCCTTCATGAGGAAAAATACTATGTACAAAAATTGTAGTCAAGTGTCAAAACATCCAAAAAAAAAAAGTAGGTTTTAGGAGCAACCAAAGGGACAAGAGTAGATAGCTCAGAGATTAAGAACACTGCTATGGCAGAGGGCCCAAGCTTGGTTCCCAGTACACATGGGCACTCACAGCAAGTGGCCGGTACCTCCAGCTCTGAGGAGTCTGATGCCCTCTTCTGGCCTCAGCAGGCATTGCACATATGTGCACAACACATGTTATCTATTGGGATAACATGTTACAAAAAGCTAAGAAAAGTTAGCTGTCAGTTTGAAGTTGGGTACTTAGTCCCAAAGGGTTTTTAGAACAAAAGCTAAACAAAGCTACTTTCAGATCATCAAAACCTGAGAGAGTATAATCTTCCACTAAAGAGACCCTCACCAAAGGGATTTCTAAGTGATATTCTCCAGGCAGAAAATTAATTCCTGAGGGGAGACCAAAACTGCAAGAAGAAAAAGTAGGAAGAAATATGGTAGTGGGGAAATCTAAATTCTGTCCATATAAGGTAATAGTGTCATAAATCATGTGTGGTGGCCCGTGTTTGTGATACCAGCACTCATGGAGGCCAGCCTGGGTTACAAGTTCCAGTTCCAGGTCATTCAGGGAGGAAGGAGAGGAGAGAAAGAATGAGACATTGAATATGAATGATGCCCATTTTGGGAGTAAAAAAAAAAATCTTATAGCAAGGCATGGCGGCCCAGATCTTTAATCCCAGCACTCAAGTACTTAGGAGGTAAAAGCAGGGGAATGGGAGGGAGGAGAGGGAGTGGGAACTGGGATTGGCATGTAAAATGAAAAAAAGATTGTTTTCTCTCTTAAAAAATTAAATAAATAAAATTTTTTTAAAAAATCCCTCAAAAAACCAAACCAAACCAAACCAAAACAACAACAAAAAACCCCACACAAAAAAAAGAAAGAAAAACAAAACAAAAACCCATCAAAACTAAAGGAACCCCTTACTACTCCTCGAAGCGCAGTGGTAAATACTTGTGCAGTGTGCTTGAAGCCTGGGTTTGATTCCAGCACAGCAGCAGCAGCAACAACGAAGATTAGCACAAAGAACCAGAGAGAAGGTCGATAGGTAGAGGCGCCTGTTGGCCTGCATTCACTCCTGGGACCCGCATGGTGGGAAGAGCAGACTCCCACAAGTTGTCCTCTGGCCTCCATAGATGCATACACACATACACAAAATAAATAAATGTAATTTAAAAATTTAAAGGTTAGAATGAAAATATTGTTCAACAAAGAAAAAAGAGAGGTAACCAAAGCCAAAGCCTTGCAAGGTCCTATATTATTTGTGGGGAGAGAGAAAGTTACATGGTGGCTAACTTGAGAGCCTTCAAGGGCTTGCATATGAGTGTGTGGTAAGTGTGTGGTGTGTGTGTATGTGTGTGTGTGATGTGTGTGTGGGATGTGTGGTGTGTGGTGTATTATTGTATGGTGTGTATGTGTGGTATGTGGTGTGTGGTGTGTGTGTGGTATGTGGTGTGTGTGTGGTATGTGGTGTGTGTGTGGTGTGTGTGTGTGTGGTGTGTGGTGTTGCGATGGGACAGTAAAGAGTGTTTTATGTGTAATTTGAAAAAGGAGGGATTTTGAATGGCCAAGACCAAGGACAAGGATGATGGCATGGAACCATCCCTCCTACTGGGGTCTGTCTTCTAGACTGCAAAGAATGCCATATGGTGACTTTATATAGTCCCAGGGCCACTGGAATGTGGCCTCATCTCTAGGAATGCAACACAAGGTCAGGAAACGCAAGCAAGGATAATTCTGGAGGCCATGCCAGTATGGGGAGGGGGTAAAAGTTTGGCTTGCCAGTTTTATCATAGCGATTGTGGGTGGTGGGTTGAGAACACCACACGGTCTCCACATACTTCTCCTTGGAGCGCTAATGAGTTAGAGCGACACACCTGGGCCTCCTGGCACCAACGTACCCTGATAGAGGACATGGTGACTCTCTCGGGTGCCTCAATGTTGTACCACACACACAAGCTGTTTCGGTTCTGGGCTACCAGCACATCGCTCCCGGGAACCCACTGCACGTAGGAGCAGAAGTTGAGGATCATTGTCTTGGAGCAGCTTTCAATATCATATAGATGCAACTGGAGAGGGAGACAGCACAATTAGGAGGCGTGCACTGATGACATTTGGTTCTGTCCCTTTCCCCCACAGTGAAATGATCCACCAGTCAGTTATGTGTTGAGTTGCCAGCCCTTGGAGTTTGTGCTAAGTTGGTATATCCTGACTGGTCAAGTATGAGATGACCAAACAACCACGATCTAATTCAAGGTATAGTCAGGTGAAGGTCAGACTAGAGAGTAACCCTGGGCCAGATTAGCAGGTAGGGCTACAAACAAAGTGAGCTGACAGTCTGCAGTGAAGCTCTCACTGGAATGGTCCCTAGGTCAGGTTCTGACAGCGTATAGACTATCCTTCGTCCACTTTGCTATGCTAATGGCATATGGAACCAATAACTTATGTCCTGCATTGCCCCCACAGTCCCAGGTAACAGCTTGTGGACCAGCCCAGGCCTAAAACCCTAGTAACCCCTCTCACACGAAGTTTCCGATCCCTGAAGAGAAGCTTGTGCCCAGTCTCATTAAGTTCCAGCCAATCCACACGGCTCTCGTGACTGATAGTACCAATGTTGTAGCTGCCAATCAGATCCACTGCAAAGAAGACAGGGTAAGAAGAGCGAACCCCACCATGTAGAGGGCTGCATTTGGTCTCTAGAATGCTGGCTTTATAATCATGTTGGGATTTAGGAACATTTTATCAGTCCAGAGGTATCAATGGGGACCACAAATGACCAATATTGCACGATTTTTCTAAGATGCTTAAAATACTGGGTCTTGCCAGGTGTGGTGGCACACACCTTTAATCCCAACATGCAGGAGGCAGAGGCAGGTGGATCTCTGTGAGTTTGAGGCCAGCCCGGTTTACTGAGAGAGTTCAAGCACAGTCAGGAACAGCTAAGGCCACACAGAGAAATACTGTCAATAAACTTGTCTAGAATTATAAATGTTTTACTTGGCTTTATAGGCAACTAGATAGATCTCATGGAGAAATGGTGGTATACTGCTATAACCCAGCCCTCAGAAAGAGTGGGGGTTTGAGGCCAGGCCCTTCTATGTAGGCCAGTTCCAGCTGCCTCGTTTGACCCTGTCTTGAAAAGACAGTGAAAGAGGGTGACCGTGTTACTGAGTACCAGAGAGAGCTGAGGAATGAAATGACCTGGTGATGTCACCCTGGCTGCGCGGAGTCACCAGAACAGTGGATGCACAAGTGAGGCGATGAAAAAGGAAGCCCTGAGGAGAGCTCACTCAGTGAAGCTCAGTGGCTCACACCCAGAGCTCAAGCACAAGGCAAAAAGTTGAGGCAGGAGCATAACCAATGGGACCAGCCGGCACACAGACTGATAACCTGGAGACAGAAATTATGACAGTAGACATGGTGACTCATATCATACTGACTATAATCCCAGTACCCAGGGGTCTGAGACAAGAGGACCAGAAATTCAAAGCCAGTCAGGGCAACATGAGACCCTGCCTTCAAACACTGAAAAACAACACAGCAACCAAAGCCAAACCAAGCCAAGTCTGCTAGAGCCTCTAGGACCACATAGGGACCCTGAAATTATATATAAATTACATTAAAAGGGACTGGTGACTCAGAGAACTGACTATCATTTTACATATATTGAAAAATATGTAAAATTCATGGCGTGAGCGAATGGACGGGTCTGAGGTCTGAGTTATCACCGCCACGAGAATTAGGCCTCCTGGCCTACATATCATTCCCAGTGCAGATACCTGCGTTTCTGAGCTCAGATGTGAAATGTAATATTCATGAAATAGGAAACTATCTTAAGAAGAGGCCCATATGTATACGAAAGCTTGACTTATGACAGGGATGGTATAACAAATTAGTGGGCTTTCAGTAAATGGTTACACAGATGGAAAAAATGTGTTTACACACATACAAAAATAAATTCCAGATGGAAAGCAAAACTTAAGAATGTTAAAATATAGGAGGGAATATGGGGAAAAGTTTTTAAACGAGACCTCAAAAACCAGCAATTACAATTACTATTATTTTGGCAGCACTGGTGATTGAACACAGGGCTCCCCTGCACTCTGCCACTCAACTACATCCCTAGACTCAATTTTTTAAACTAAGAATTTGTTAATTACATTTTTAGTTCTTTGTTTCTATTTTGTAAGGAGCACACGTGGAAGTCAGAAGACAACTTGCAGGAGTTGGTCTTCTCCTGAGGGACTAAAGCTGAGTCATCAGGCTTGGACCAGTATCTTTAGAGGCTGAGTCATCCCATTGGCCCTTCAATTAATACTTAAAGGTGTGTGCTACAGGGCCTGAGTCTGATCCTCTAGACCCACACAGTGGAAAGGAGGGATCTACCGCCTCAGAGTGTCTTTTTTTTTTTTCAAGACTGAGTCTCTCTGTGTACCTTTGGAACTTGCTCTGTAGACCAGACTGGTCTTGAATTCACAGAGATCCACCTGCCTCTGCCTCCTGAGTTCTGGGATTAAAGGTGTGTGTCACCACTGCCCGGCTTCTCAGGTTGTCTTGTGACTTCTACTTGAGTGTCATGGCATAATGCTTCCCCCAACCGGTTCCATTACATAAATAACTACAATAAAATTTTAAATGTCTCAATACTAAAGATACCTAAAAGAGAGAAAACTCAAGCCACACATACTGAGAAAAAAACTACAATGTAAGTAACCATCAGAGGTTATATACACAATTTCACATCTCTAACAAAGAGGCCACTTGACTTTCACAATGCATAAGGGATGAGAAACTGGAAGTCACAGAAGAGAAATCCAAGTGAACAATAAGTAAGTGAAACGGCATTGCACACACACCATGCATTTCAAGTCCTGGAGAGGATGTGGAAGAATAGGAACTCTGACTGGGAGAGGAACGGACATTGATCGTCCTCTTTGGAGAGCAATGGGAGACACTTAGTCAGGCTGAAGGCACAGCTGCTCCTATGATTCAGCAATTCTGCTCTAAGCATGGACCTCAGCAAGTAGCAGTAATGTGATTAAAACCACACCAAACAACAAACCCCCCAAACAACTAGGGGTTGAAGAAATGGCTCAGTGGTTAAAAGTACTGACTGTTCTTCCAGAGGACCCAGGTTCAATCCCCAGCACCCACATGGCAGCTCACACCCACCAAGTTCCAGGGATCCCACTGCCCTCCTTTGGCCTCCAAAGGCATAAGGAACACACATGGCGCACAGCCATATATGCAGGCAAAATAGCCATTCAACTAAAATAAACCTTTAAAAAATTAATACTCAGCAGGCTGTGGCAGCACACACCTTTCGTCCCAGCACATGGGAGGCAGAGGCAGGTGGATCTCTCTGATTTTGAGGCCAGCCTGGGCTACAGAGTGTGTTCCAGGTCAGCCTGGGTTACACAGAGAAACCCTGTCTCAAATAAAATAAAATAAAACCAAATCAAACAATGAACCCCCCCCCAAACAAACAAACAAACAAAAAACCACTCTAAATGCTCATGAGTAAGAGATGAGGTAAAAAATTAATATAAATGCAACAAAAAGTTCTGACTTAACAGCACTAGGCGTGGATAAGCAAGTATTAACAATAGGTCATGACTCTCAGCAGCTGGGGTTTATTAACGATTATGTGGCAGGGAAGGATGAGTGCTTCCCTCTGACATAGGTGCTGTCTTCGTTCACTGTGTGGGTTAAGACACTAAGAAAGACGAAGTAACTTTGGTAAGCTCACAGAGCAGTAAGTACGGATAGGGTAGCTGACGCCAGTCCCATCCTTACAGACATACTATGTGGCATGCTCGTCTCTACACCTTCTGCACGATCCTAAGCTAGTCTTAGTTCTTCCTTCCATGCTTGGAACATTTGGTGACAGAAATCATAAAGTGGAGATTGTGAAATGCAAATTACATTTCTATTGTTACTAGTTACTAATAATAAGGGTTACTAATAACATAAATATAAAAAATACAGTCCTTCCAATTCTAAAGGGTCTAGGATTTGATGATGTCTAAACAGGAAAATCCCTAAATTTAGCAGGGAATCGCGGCTACTCACATTCTCATTTTCAAAGAAATATTTCTCATTGCCACCAGATCCCTGCAAGGCTATCTGCAAAGTGAGGAGAAAACATCATAGACAATGTAGACAATCACCCAAGACAAGGCTGGAGGATGTCAGTGGCAAGGAAGAGATTTCAGGGAGGTTTTGAAGTTACACAAAAGGTTCTCTGTATCAGACTCTTGCCCTGATCCTCATATTTCCAAGAGAAACCAGTCTGACTGTGGAAGTTTATATTCCAGGAAATAATATCAGAATGGTATCCTATGGGGAATCTTACTTCTTAGGGCCCACACCTTCAGAATTAGCAAGCCAAGACATCCCATTACCCACTCTTCCTCTCTCGGTTCCTACCTCACTGAGGTGATTGGTGTTCAAGTCTCCGAGCAGCAGCGTGTCCGATGTGTGAGCCACCAAGTACCGTTCCTTCCCCAGGATCGTCACCTCTTCTACCTCATAGCCAAAGTGGGACTTGAGCACCACCCTGGTCCCTGAAGACAGGTTCTTCACTATCACCCGGGAAGGGACCAGTCCAACCCATCAGGCTTTCCCAGAGCAGGAGAAGAGTGAAGGTGCTCTGGTCCCTCACGCAACTCCAGGATACCTTGTTTCTCCCTCGGCCTGGGATGCTGTTGCTAAGGACAACACTTGCACCCACACAGGGGTTTGCTACCTAGGAAATACTTCCCCATGGCCTGGGCTGTCCATGGCCATTCGATTCTGAGAGCTCTACTCGGTAACACTAATCACTCACTTTGTTCCTGCACTTCTTAGTACAAAGCTCTTTACCAATGAAGACAGAATACTATATCATCATTACTGTTATATAATTATGAACCTATTATTATCGTTATTATATCATCATGTGCCTAAGGTGATCTCCAACTGCCCATCCTCCTAAATGCTAAGATTTTCGTTCTTTTTCTTCCTCTTCTACTTGTTTTCTTTTTTGAGACATGTAGCCCTGGTTGGCCTGGAATTTGCTATATAGACCAGGCTGGCCTCAAGCTCACTGGCCACATACCAGAGCACAATGTCTTTTTTACAAAGAATTTGAATTACATGGGTGGGTGTGCACAAAGGTGAGTGCAGGTGCCGGATGTCGGAAGAGGGTGTTGATCCCCAAGGCTGAAGACCCAGTGATTGTGAGACACTAACATGGCGCTGGGAACTGAACTTGTGTTCTCTGTAAGAATAGTAAGAGCCGTATCTCTGGCCCTGGTGCGATGTCTTACAGATAAATTACCTTTGTACTCTCAGTCCTTAACAGATCTAACACAGCAGAGAAAGGATAAACATTTCTGGAGAGACTGGAAAGATCCAGGAACAAACTGGTAATAAGAGCGAAGGAAGGGAAGTGGGAGAGTGAGACGCGTGCCTCTGGGACAACAGAGTCCTGCGCACTACAGTTCGCCAGTGATCATACACGTCCACAACTCTAGTGGGCGGCGCTGAGAACAGCTTCACACTGGGGAGATACAGGCACCAATCCCTGTATCTCTTGAGCCAGGTGTGAAACCTTTGCTTGCGATGGGTTAGAACAACTACGTAGCAGGAGGGTTGCCAGAAGTTGCCCTGACACATTCAGCTCCCTACGATAGCTCTGCCAGAGGGAGGAAGGTTAAATTTGACACTGTGGCTGTGGCCAGCAGGTGGGGGAAATGTTACAAGGACAGATGAGCCACGAGAGGTCTCAGCATGCTAGGTCATCAGCTGCTCACCTGGCTGGGTCCCACATACGTCAGCTCAAACTTGTTCTTGTAAATACTCCTTCGGAGGCAGCAGTCAAACTGTTCCACCCCACCACAGAGGGTGCCCTGAGAAAGGGGGGGACAGCATGGAAGGCGATGCACGGCGCGCTGGCCAAGGACGGTATCTGGATATACCCCAAGACCTCAGACCTCAGTGTCACAATCTAGACAGAAGTGGCCAGCAAAAGGGTGGGCAGGTTCTGAACATATCAGAAAAAAAAAGTGGCAATCCCAGGACTTACAGGGATCACATGTGGGTTGGACAATGAGGGGAAATCAGGCTGTCCTGGACAAGCGTGTCCCTCAAGGCCTCCTGGAAAGTGTGAGTTTCCCTTTCCTGCCTTTAACAGTCGATTTTTTTAGGTTGAAGTCACAAGGCAGCTGGAGTTCTCTTGTGTCAGAGTAGAGCGACTCCCTTGGCATAGGGAGTAGTTTCTATTTTACTGTAGTTTGGAGACAATCGCCAGTACAGAAAGGGGCTCCTACAACACACCGCACAGAGCCGGGAGCTGTCCCGCTTCCAGGCCAAGGCTGTGATGGTGTATAAGTTGGCAATCTCCTTGGGCTTGGCCTCTTCCCAGATGCTTCTTCGAGGACTCCAGTTGAACACCCGGAGTCTAGAAAGGTAAAGAGTGAAAATAGACCAGAACTGATAGGGAAGCATCTCACTCTACCAGAAAGGGAAGCAAACGCAAAAGGGCAGACCAGCGAGGAGGCCAACGGGAGGGGAAAAGGTGCGGGGAGTTGAGGGAGTAGGGGTGAAAGGAGCAGGTAGAAGATGGATGCCAGGTGTGGTGGTACACGCCTGTAATGCCAACAGGAGAGAGGCAGAGGCAGGAGGATCACAGTAAGTTGGAGGCCAGCCTGGTCTACCCAGTGAGTTACAGGCTAGCTGGGGCCACAGAATGAGACCCTGTCTCAAAAACCAACAACAACACAAAAGCCAGAAGTAGAGACACCAGGACAGCAGGACAAGTGAAACAAACGGACGGCCAGGAGAGGGAAGAGGAAGAAACAGAGTGTAGGAGTCAAAGAAGGACGGAACCTAAGGAGACACGTGAGATTGGAAGGACATAAAGACAGACAGACAAAGAGACCTGACCCTAGCTGCTTGGCTGTTTCTTTATTCATTCACCAAATGGCGACTACATTAAAGACCATGCCAGTGCAGGCACTGGCGATGAGGACGGCTACTTAGTCTTCCTCTCAAACTAGAACACAATGGCATAGTGGGGACAAGGCAGGGGGACATGGGGAACGCGATGGCCTCTGCTGTGGAGTCCAGGCTGAGTAGGCACAGCGCATCCTGAAGCAGACGACAATCTGAGAATCCCTTTCAACAGACATTGCTTCTGTCCAGGTACCCGCTGCAGTTCAGAACTTGGCTAGGGCAGAGCTCACAGAGAAAGGTAGAAGATGCAACTGGGCCAGGCGATGGTGGTGCACGCCTTTAATCCCAGCACTCGGGAGGCAGAGGCAGGCGGATCTCTGTGAGTTTGAAGCCAGCCTGGTCTACAAGAGCTAGTTCTAGGAAAGGAACCAAAAGCTACGGAGAAACCCTGTCTCGAAAATCAAAAAAAAAAAAAAAAAAGATGCAACTGGCCGGGGGACCTACCTGTCGTAGCTTCCTAGCACGACAGACTGGCCTCCAGGACTTGCTGAAGCTGTGGTGAATTCACGTTCCTGAGGATTACGGCTGTAGTCAAAAGTCTGTAGCACGTGGCCTTCCTTTCCATAGGCCACAATCCTCCGATCACAGCCTGCTGCCACGATGCTGTTGGTTGCCCAAGCCAAGGCATACGGTGGGCATGGGTGGTTAACCAACTTCCCCTGGGACAGACAGAATATTTCAATTGTTCGTTGAGAATGCTAGGCTAGCAGCTGATCCACACACTCCTGACCATCCCACCCCAGAGAGAAAGTGAGCCTTCCTGCCAGCATTTCCCACATCAACACGCCCGAATTCTGAAGGCTTCACAGCCTGTCTCTGTATCATGAGCACACGCATGCCATGTGTACACGGGCCGTGTACTCACAGTGGTGTGTTGAGACCTCTGGTACGTACTAGTAAAGCCACCCAAAGAGAGACGACACACAGTAACCAACACTGTCTAGGTCCAAGAGAGTACATGGCTTCAAGAAGGGCTAAATTGAATTATGTGGGTAACTCACAATGTAAACGATTCCACAGTACTAAATTATACAGAGAAAAACAGCAAAGTTTCCCTGTATGTCTATCTTTTCTTTTTCCAAAAAAATAGTTAATTCTTTAACATCTTATTTATTTGTGTGTGTTTTTGTGCGCACATTTGCATATGTGCACACATGGTCGAAGGGCAGAGGATGACTTGCGGAAGTCACTTCTGTCCTTGCATGGCAAGGGTCCTGTCAGGTTTGGCACTGGGCACCTTTACCTGCTGAGGTATCTTGATGGGCTGTTAACTTCTTTCTCCTATGCATTTGGATGTATATACATTACATAAACATGTATATATATACATATATATACATATACATACATTTGTGTATATGTATGTATTTACATAAATGGAAATAATGTTCACTTTTTGTCCCCCTTAGAGTCTTTATTTCCCTTCTTTCAAGGTCCCTTCCGCCCACTCCTCCCTATAAATAGTGAGTTCTAGCCTCCTGAACACCAGTCTCCGTGATGGCACCAAACGCTTCTCTCCAAGTTTGCCCTTTTCCAGTAATGGTGCTTAAACCTGCAGCTTCCCCGGGAGGGCTCCTGGAATGTCCACCCCACCCCAGAGTGAGTGTGCGCCCTTCATACCTGTGACCCTCCGGAGCCTTCATCATCGAACAAATACCTGACGATGGTGCCGTCTGCGTGACCTGAGAGGATGCCTTTCCCAGAGCAACTGAAGGGCAGAGGCAGAGAGGTGGGCACAGAGGGAGGGACTTCCGCCCCGTGACAGTCCCCTTTCCATCAAATGCAGCTTTGTCCTGACAGTCCCAGTCTACTTCTGTTATTCACTTGGTTGTCAGCGCCACCACATACGAGTCTGTCCCATAGATGGTAGACGACTTGTTAGTTTTAGTGTTTGCTTATCGAACCTGAAAACCAAACAAGTCTGGCTAGGCTACTTACAGTGTCAGCCAGGCACGGAGAAACAGAAGTAAAAACGCCAAATGACAAAATTAGTCCTCATGCATTTTTCTCAAGTATGCACTTGAGCTCCAGGGGAAAGATGAACCATATTGCCAGGCACCCCAGGACACTATCCCCCCCAATACCTCACCTGTGTCTCCCTCTCCTCCGTTACCTTGCCTTCAGCCAGTCCGAAGACAATAATGTACTCTGCAGGCCACTGTAGACAGGTGACAGCACTCTGTATGAGAAGGGGTGAAAGGGTGACCCGCCTGTGTGGACTGGCACACTCAGAACAACCGCCACCCACCACACACCGTCATTCTAGTCCTCTCCAGGGGGAAAAGGCAGGCAGTGGACACAACAAGGCTCTCAAGCAGGTGACAACACCATTCTTTAGCAGGTCAAGTCGGGGTCAGACATTGAAAAAGGCAACTCCTGTTTCATTTACAAGGAGGGAAGCAGGTGCGGCTCACCTCTGAACTTTACCGTCTGGATGAACTTGTTACAGATGACCTTCTTGTCACCCCTGTCAGACAAAAGGCAAGGAAGCAACCTTAAAAATCACTTCCCAGGGGCTGGAGAGATGGCTCAGTGGTTAAGAGCATTGCCTGCTCTTCCAAAGGTCCTGAGTTCAATTCCTAGCAACCACATGGTGGCTGACAACCATCTGTAATGAGGTCTGGACATAATATTGTATGCATAATAAATAAATAAATATTTAAAAAAAAATCACTTCCCAATGAACTGCCCAACATGGCCCTCTGTGGGAGGTCTGATGGAGAAGTGAGTGGGTCCCCAAGGAGCCCTGGAGCTATGCCAATGACACAGCATATCACTGGCTCTCGGGACCTTCTGCTGGCTTACACTCATCCCTCCAGGGATGGGACTGCAGGACAGGTGGGGCAGGCAGAGGTGGACACAATAGAATCAGGCTCTAGAGAGTCCCTGCCTTCCATGCCTGATGTCATCGTTATCCCAGCGAGGTATTTCCCATGCCCAACTCTTCTTTAGTGGCCACAACCCGCCTAGCCCCCATCCTGTCCTCACCAATCTTCTCCAATCTTGTAGGCATAGATGATGTTGTCAGTCTGTCCGATGGCAATTTTAGTGGAATCAGGGGAGAAAGCCATGCCCTTTACCATGTAGCTCTTCCAGCCACACTAGGAGTAAAAACAAAGATAATGAGTAGAAATGAAGGAGAAAAGAAAAAACACACATTTCCCAAAAGACCAGAAAGTTTATAGCGAGAAATAGAGTAGACTATTGCCCATGTCTACGGCTAGAAGGCAGATCACACAGCTTTCTCGGATAACGTGTTGGAGCACATGTGAGTCCTCTTTACCTTCATGTCAGCTGGCTTGGTGGAGAACTTGTCTCTCCCGCTCCCCATGCTCATCGTACAGCAATACCACTCGGTCCACTGTGCAGACAGCATATTTAGCGTTGTTCTGGGACCAGGCCATACAAGTCACCTTCGCAGCTCCATCTTGCAGAGGCAAAGGGGTACTGTAAACACAGCGCTGGTCTCCAGAGTACAGAGCGTCTCCAGGTCCATCAGTCTTCGTGTGCCTTTGTTCTACATCTACGTCACAGGTTTTCTCTCAAAACTAAACAAAATGAGACAAATTGCTCGGATACCTGAACTGTAAGAATAATAGTCTCCAGGGCCTCACGTGGCCCAGACGGACCTCAGATTCACTGTACGGTAGGGATGACTTGAACTTCTGATCCTCCTGTCTCTACCTCCTGAGTGCTAGGATTCCAGGCGTACACCACCCTGTCTAGTTTATACCATGCCGGGGACAGGACTCAGGGCTTCACTCGAGACAAGCAAACACTGTACTACCAGGCCACATCTCCTTCTCACCTAATGTGTTTTTCTGAGACTCATGATACAAATGTAACGCATCAACCGTTCCAAAAGCAATGGCCTCCTTGATCCTTCATCTTTCAGGTCTGCGACTGAAAAAAAAAATCAATTAATCTGATAAATTTTAGCCTTTATAGCTACTCATTCAATTAATGTTTTCCAGCACTTTACTGTCAAAGACACTTGGCTGGAAGACGACAGATAGACAAAGAGCAAAGCACAGATCCTACCCTAGGTTCTAATTGGACGCTGAGAAATTGGAAATGTCCCATTAGAAAAATATGTTCTGAGTATAGTAATAATTTAGAGAAGTCCAAGACAATTTTATGCTTAAATGGTCAAGATTAAACTTTGAAGAAGGGATGCCATCGAATGGTAAATTACTTCAGATGTAATGAGTAGCATGAACAAAGTCAAGCTCTGGCCAAGGACCAGCAATTTAAGGAAGTTGAGACTGCCAACAAGAGAGGAGGCAGGGCAGGAAGCGTAGACTGGGTTAGCTCAGGAAGCGTAGACTGGTCTAGCTCAGGAAGCATAGACTGGGCTAGCTCAGGAAGGGCCTCTGGAGGCCGCTAACGATTTGGATTTATTGGGCAGGAATACAGAGACAGTGTAAGTTTGGAAACAAGGAGCAACAGAATTAGAATTGAGACTTGGGATAAACAATGTCACTTTCCCCTGTTAAGTGTCCACTAAAGGTTCGTGGTGAAAGTGACCACTGCAAAAACGGGTACAGCCCAGATAATGGGGCGCTTGTCTGGCATTCATCAGTCCCCAGGTGTGAGCCTTCGCACTGCACAAGAGTAAGCAAAGAAATAAAAAGAATATGGGAATGGCAGGTAAGACGGCACACGCCTGAAATCTCAACACCTGGGAGAGGAGGCAGGACGGTCAGACATTCAAAGTACTCCACAATTACACAGCGAGTTTGAAGTCAGCCTGAGCTATATGAGACCCTGACTTAAAAAAGAAAAACCAAAAAAGAAAATACGTGATCACCACACAGTGAATTACTCTGCGTGTCCCTCACCAGCTGTCCTCTCAGGCTCCTGAGATGAAATTTGGCTCCTACGCCAAATGTTGGATTCACCACTTGGGCTACTAGAGATCTGGCTTACAACACCTTTACTTTCTACACCTAACCCAAATACGTCCAGAGCCAGCAGGGGGATCACTGCCCCCAAATCCTCAAACTACAACCAGAAAATAGCGGCACCACCACCATGGTCATGAGCCAACCATTCACTACCATCGGCTAGAAGGGGGTGCAGGCGCCTCATCAGCTTTGGCTGCTCATCCTCCTTCAAGGCTGTCCATCCTGGGCATATGGTCCAGCTGCACCATGACATCATCTTTTTTTAGAGACCAAACGGTTCTATTTCCAATTTTTCCATTAGGGTATTTTGAAGTGACAGATAACAGTACCAGTTTACTGAGCAAGGAGTACAACTTTTTATTGTTCTACCACCGAGTGAGGGCTCGATCCCTTCAGCTTTCCTTTCTTCTAACCGACTTCTGCTCTCCTTACACAGTGCAAACATCCCCAAGACCCATAATCGATGGGGACGCGTTTCTCTGCAATACGTGCCTGACTGGACTGCCTGGGGGTTGAGTGGAATGGAAAGTAGAACAGGCATTTTCATAACTGCTTGACACCCAGTCGGTACCTCACCTCGTATCTCTGAGGCAGAAGCTATTATGATTCCCATTTTACATATGGGGAAATTGAGGCACTGAAAATTAAGAAAGGTGCTCAGTCACACATACAGTTTTTAGATGACAGATGCAATATTTGAATCCATGTATGTTTGATTCCACAAGCTATAACTCTGTCTTTATGCTGTTGTGGCATATGTATTAATGACTTAATTCAGCCATATACTTTTTTTTTCAGAATAGGAAAATTTATTACTGTGCTTCCACTGTCAAAATTTAGGATCTTGGTCTTTCCTTCTTGCCTTTGTACAGGGCCAAAAGGGACATGTTGGCTACTTTAACAACCTTAAAGTAGACTCCAAGGAATATCACCTACAGCATGACCCTTTCTACCAAATCCAGCAACCAGAACTTCATCGTTTTCCTCAATGAAGTTCAAGCAACCATCATTGGGGACGAAAGCTGTGATCTTCTTGGTGTTCTTGATGAGCTGCACCCTGACACACTTCCAGATAGCAGAATTTGGCTGCTTGGCTTCAACTCCTACTTTTTCCAGCACGATTCTCTTGGCATGAGAGGCACCTCCAAAAGGATTGGCCTTCAGGGCTGTGCCCAAGTGGGCTTTCATGTACTGTTTTTCATGCCACTTCTGGTCCCAGTGGGCTGCGGAGCTTCCTGGCAGTACGGAGACCATGACACTTGCTCATCTTGCCGATGCCACAGGCCCGAGAGAAAGAGCTCTGCCATATACTTTTATTTACTGTTGCCATTATTATTATTATTATTATTATTATTATTATTATTGAGACAGGGTCTCTCTATGTAGTCCTCTATCTCGTTTTGCAGACACCATGCCTGGCTATTCTTTTTTTTTAATTAATTAATTTTATTTATTTTGCATCCTGATTGCACTTTTCCCTCCTCACTATCCTTCGATTCACCTCCCCCCCCACACACACACAATCCACTCCTCTTCTATTTCTATTCAGAGACGGGCGGGCCTCCCATGGGCGGCAACAAAGCACGGCATATCTTGTTGAGGTAGGACTACACCCTACTTCTCCAGGAAACTCTAAAAGTCACACATTATTCTTATGTTTTAAAAGGAGGTCTTGGCTCTGTAGTCAGGCTGGCTTTGTGCACACAGCAAGCCTCCCAAATTCTGCGATTACAGGCAGGCAGCACCATGATCAGGTAACAGATTTCTTTTTGTAGTACTCGGGACGCATGCAGAGGCTCACGCATGCCAAGCACATGCTCTAGTACTCAGCAACATCCTCTGCAAGTAGCATATTCTTTTTATATGTTGGGGGCCAATGTGCCTGTTTGGGTGTGCATGAAGAGGCCAGAGGTCAACATCAAGGGTCTTCCTCAATTGCTCTTCACTTTGTTCTTTTGAGACAGGGTCTCTCCTCTCACTGAACCTGGGGCTCATGAATCTGGCCAGCGAGCTCTAGGGACCCCCTTGTCTCTGCCTCCCCAGCACTGCAATTACAGGTGTGCCTAGCTTTCAAGTGGATGCCGGAGAGCTCGTGCTGATGAAGAGCCGTCTCCCCCACAGCCAGCCTTATTTGTGTTGTTAGCCTGTCCTCTCCATTTCCATGTCCTTCCCTGTGGTCTATCATTCTTCATACAGCTGTCCAATTCATAATGCCCTTTCCATTTGTCCCTTACACCTCCACGACACAAGGCAGCAACAGGAGGTCCAGGAAGAGTCCCGGTGAGGCCCCAGTGTTGGTAGTGTAGCCGAGACCAATGATTCTCTGCGATGAACCAACACATGTAAAGATGTATGGACAAAGGAGTATACCGTGTGACTCTCTGTGCCAGACTGCAGCTTCCCTGACGAGATTTCCCCTTTCGTCCTTTTTTCTGTTTTTCCTTTTTTATCTTAAATTTTATTTGTGTGTGGGGGGGGGTTGCAGGGGCAGAGGCTGGATGCAAGGGAACGGGAAATGGGTGAGATCGGGATGCATGATGTGAAAGACACAAAGAATAAATTAAAAAAAAAGAAAGTTAAAAGAATTTCTCCTCACATTTATTTATTGTGAGTGGTGGGACGGTGCCTGTGTGGCGGTCAGAGAACAACTTGCATGAATTGACTCATTCCTTCCCGTGTGTGGGTCTCAGGGCTCACTCAGGGAGTCAGGCTTAGTGGTAAGTGCCTTTATCCACTGAACCATCTCACTGGCCCAATTTTTGTTTTCTTTTTTCAAGATAGTCTCATGCAGCCCAGGCTGGCCTTGAATTGTCTATACAGCCAAGAATGCACTCCTGACCCTCTTGTCTTCACTTCCCAATTGCTAGGATTTTCGGCCTTTGGCGCCACCGAACCATGTTTATAGTGTGTGTGTGTGTGTGTGTGTGTGTGTGGTGTGTGTGTGTATATGTTGAACTTTACTTAACTCTCTCCTAAGGTTCTTGGAGTTGCTCTAACTACGGCTTTTCTTTCCCAAATGACGAAGTTAATGACAGAAAGGCCACGTATGATGAGGGTTAAAGCCAGAGATACCTTTTGGTCAAATCAGTGCTAAACCTGAACTCCGATCCCTTCACTCCCAAACCTATCCTTCATGTTTTTGGGCTCCTCTCCTAGAGCCCAGCCGCTTCTGAATCTGAGACACACTTTCACAATTCAAATGAAGCATCAGCCTTGCGCTTATTTCATCCTGTGTAGATTTATGCTCGTTGTCTAGATATGCGCCTCTCCCTCACAGCCTGTGACGTAACTCGACCCCTAGAGCCTAAGCTTGGGGCCTGGCACTCAAATGCTGTATGCGGTGCCATCAAAGTTTGCGGTCTTTAGCAATTCACGTCGCCTACTGAAAGATATTTCACAATCTTCTGCACACAGCAGGCGCTCAACATTATAAACTTCTGTTACCCCACTTTTTTTCTTTTGGAACGCCCGGTGGCCGGGGAATGGGAGTCACGCGATTCCTCACCTGAGGGCTCAGCAGGGTCCTCAGGTGCTTCAACTGCGTGACGCCCAGGTCTCGGATGGTCGTTGACCAAGACAACTCCCGCGGTTACCTGGACAACCCGCCAAGCAGCAAAGGCGCCAGCCACTGACGCACAGGCAACGTGAGTGCGACATACGTCATAAGGTCACGTAGTGGGTTCGCGACCGTGCAAACCGGATGTGCGCAAGCGCAGTGAATCCTAGGGCGGGCACGTAAGAGGAGGTCGTCGAAGTCTGTCCTCGACCAATCCTGTACTTGCATGCAAACTCAACGCAAAGCCCCACCCGCAAGTCTTCGTCTGTCCCCACCCTCCCCAACCCCGCCCCTAGATCCTGTATCACTTTAACCCCAGCTTTTCTCCTTGCTGTAACCTGCCAAGTGTGCTTTAGTTGCTTTAACTCTGGAGAAGCACAAGGCAGGTGCTACGAGAGCGAAAGCCAGTTCGCAGAACTGCAGCCTCCGCTTTCCTCGCCAAAAGTTCTGTGACTCGCGCGAGGCCACTCAATACTGATAGGGACCAGTGAATGCTCAAGGATATACCTGTTTGAAGTGGGCAGAGGTACAGTCCCATTTTACACAACAGGAGGGGGTCACACGCCAAAGTTGAAATGGCTAATAAACGGTGGAACCGGGATTCAACCCAGAGCTGATAACCTTTTAATTCCCGTGAGACGATTCAAGTCTTCTCAACTCGTTGTCTCTTTGTTCAGCTTCTCTAACCTCTAACACGGTCTCAGGAAATGATCGGGGTTTGGTAGCACTGGCTAGGGAAAGGCAAGGCACCCTGTTTGGTCATTGGGTAAACGGTGAGTTCAAGGCTGCTTGCCGAAATCCAGATGTCTTTATGGGTCAGTGCAGCGGACAGAGCTGGGCTGGCCTCCTAGCTTAGAGCTGTGTGACACCTGGGGCTGGGGATTGACTAAGAAAAGATACTATTGTCTTTATTTTGTTTGATTGGAATGCTCTCAAGAATTTTTGTTATCAGATAGATTGACTGAAATTCAGAAAAGAAGGCCTTCTCTCTCTAAACGGTCCCAGGTTGTCAAGACTTATACCACCCAAAAAGCATAGCATATGATCTCCAGACCGAAGCTGGGTCCCAAAACCTTGCATGCACAGCGGTTGCCAATGGCAACGAATATTTCTCTCCCCACCACTACCTCCCTCTTGAAAAATTAAGAACGAGTAGAGGGCAGTTCCTATTTTTCACAGATAACACAAATAGGTCCCAGAACCCAGATTATAATTTTTTTCTATAGGGGCACCCAAACCCCTCTGTTTTATTTCTAGAATGCTCTGGATATGGTACAGAGTATAAATGTAAATGCCTTTGTGGATTACAATTATTAACGTTAAACAAACAGAGACATAGATGAAAGAGAAAACGGAGAGGAGGCACTGGTATGCACAGGGTGAGGATACATGGCACCAAGGGACACATCCGTGATAGCTGCTCTTTGGCTAGCCCCCCATGACCCTGCTCAGTCCTTCTGACCATTTTCCCAGAGGGAATGGTGGAGTTGAAAGAATGGGGAGGGGGTCGGTTATGTAACCCAGTGGTAGAGCATTTGCCTGGTATGCACAAGGTCCTGGACAAAGATAAAAGAAAGAAAATCTACTGGCCCTTTTATGGTGACATGGCCTGGTTTCCATTGGTGCAAAAACTTCTGTGTCTTCTCATTGCACCCCTCCCCCACATTTCAACAAAGCCAAAAAAAGGAGGCTTCTAGCTTCTGTACCCTTTCCTTGTCTTTTCTCCACCCGTCTTAGACGAAAACATGGACACAAACATCCTATAATGGGTCTGTTCCTTTAAGTTGGTGGTGGCGTGAGGGGCCCTTGGAGAGCTGAGAAGGTGTAGAGATGTCTTCAGCATACCATACAGTCACTTCTGGTTTGTCCAAGAACCTTTATTGGAAAAATGTCCCAGGGGTGAGATCACCAGCAGCGAGAGGGACTGCCAGGTGAGGGGGGAGCACCTGAGGCTCCGTGGAAGACATTGGAGTAGTGCAGTGTGGCATCTGCCTCGAGGCCCAGATGCTTGCTTCCTCTTCCTCCGTGGAAGAGGGCAATACAGACAGAAACAGCCCTCTCTGAGGCCCAGAGGCAAGCTGTAGGGGCAGCTAGTGGATGCCAATGGTCCTGATGCAGGTGAGATGGGGCCCCATTTGGGACCTAGTGGGATAGGGTCGAATAAATGACTCACCTGGACCTGGGAGATAGGAGATGTTCCATTTGATATCCACTCCCAGGTCCAGGGGTACAGATTCTAACAGACCTACCTTTTGGCCCTGCTCACAGTGGAAAGAGGATGGGTACCAGCCTGGGATTCTGGGAGTGCACAGCCTTGTGGGAGTCTCAGAGAGATCACCAACTTAGGCTTCCCTGACCCCACCCCCCATTATCAGTGCATCTCTCTTCTGGTTCTGGTTCTTCAGTCACTCAGTTCACTCAAACGTCGATGGTGTTGATAGAAGGAGACTTTTTCTATGAGAGAAGATTACCCAAATCTCAAATTTCAGACAGGTAAAGGTGCTGCTCCCGCCTTCTGGACTCCTTCATCCCAGACATCCCATTCCCGCCCCACCCCCCTTTGCTGCCTGTTCTGCTTTTCACTGAATACTCCTGGGCACCCAGATCACCCTTCTCACACTCACTGGTCCCCACGTCACCTGTCTTGTCCCCACTGGCCTTCCCTGAGGACTCTGTTCAGGACCCTTCCCCTTCTCCTTGGGGTTGTTGTTGGAGTCGTTGTCCTTGATGATGTCATACTGACGGCAGAATAGCCCGATCACAGCTGAAACACAACAATACCATCTGAGCCTTGATCTTGACCTCTCATTCACAGCCTTGAGGCTGTAACAGCCTCACGACTTCTAGAAAATCCTGGAATTCCTGGGGCCCATACAACCGTCATCCCTGGCCATGCAATAGCCTTCTCTCTTTCTCCCCAAACTTGTCCTGATTACCTCCCTCCACCAGCCATCCCCCCCCCACACACACTCCTTTTCTCTCCTTTTTCTCCTGACGGGTAACCTTCACCACTTCCCACTATCATGGACCCAAGTCCCTGGCTCCCCATCCGGTACTCACCAGCCCACATGAGCAACACCACCACGATGATGACCACTTCCCCGGTCCTGATCTGCACGGTGTAGTCACTGTCTTCAGCCAGGGCCCAAAGAGCACAGGCCCTAGTGGTGGTGTTCACCTCCCTGATTACACGCTGCCCAGAGGGCCTTTCTGTCGCTGCAAGAAGATGTAGAGAAAGGAGAACAACCTAGGCCCGGTCCCTGACCATGAGGCTTAACTCAGGATTCTGTAACATCCAAACACTCCAAAGGAGTAATGTGCAGGGGTGTTCAGAGACCCAAGGGCACAGGTTGGGGAAACAGGGTGATTCGTACTTGCTGGGAAATGGAGTAGCCAATGACGATGTTGCCTTCTGGGACGTCCCAGGACACAGTGGCCGAGTTGGCTCTGAGATGAGTGACCGTCACATTCACAGGAGAGGGAGGTCGGTCTGGGGGTGCCAGGGTGTTAACAGGTTAAGAAGTTTCACTTCCACACTAGCTCTGAAGGACCCCCACTGCGGGCGTCCTCTTCACTCACCTGCTCGCACAAAGCCCAGGTCACAGCTGACCAGCAGGAGGACCTTGGGACTCAGATATGGGGAAAGAGGCATCAAAGAAGCCATGGTTTCCACCGAGTTCGCCGAGGGGCCCGGAGGCATCCGCTTAACATCCAGGGGGGGATCCTGGAAGAGGCAGGAGTTGTGGGGGTCAGGAGCTGTCCAGAACGCAAGCGGGATGCAGCAGCTCTCCCAGGCTTCCTATGGCCCATAGCCCATTTTCCCCGCTCCTTTCCCTCCTCCGCATAACCCTGGTGCCCACCCCAGCCCCCACCCGCGCAGTCGGATCAGCCCACACTCACCTGCCGGGTCCTCGTGGTCGGTCAGGCCTCGGGGGGGTTGTTCGGTGCCCAGCGGCCCATCGCCGGACTGGCGCAGGCCCTACACCATCCCGATGCGGGCCCGCCTAGGCGGGCAGCGCCGGCCGAGCTGCGGGCTGAGAGGGCAGAGGCGGAGTGGCCGCGGGCCGCGAGTCTGCGGGGCCCCCAGCGTTCCCGAGGGCCACGCATAGTCTGTCTCGGAGCAGGGGGCGTTGCCGGCGAGGCCTGGCAGCTGGCCTGTGTCCCCGGTGCAGAGGACAGTGCGGCGGCCGAGGCTGGTCCCCTGCAGCGGGATGTGACCGTCCGGGCCAGCCAGCCGCCTCCTTCTGCAAAGCTGGCGACGCGCGCTCCGCTGGAGCCCGGCTGGAACGTGCGGGCCCGCCCCGCCCGCCCCGCCCCGCCCCGCCCCGCTAGGGTTCCCGTCGCCATCATCCTACCCCCCCGCCCTCCATTACCTACCCCGCCAGCCTTGTTCTCTCGGGGCTCCTCCCATAACCCTCCCAATGGCGGCCTGCTGGGCCCCTATTCCTTCATCCTTTCTGCTCTAGTAGATGAACTGACTGGGGTACCCGGACAGGTGCAGATGCGAGGGTCTAGTGCACCTGAAAAATCCCCTCCTTCCCGGCATGAAATTAGCCAAGTTGAGAGGACGCATTCCATCTCCGAAAGCAGGAGGGGGCTGAGAGGAGAGGAGACAGACTGGTGAAGATGATAATTGTTTTAACAATCTCTTGGAGACTGCGTCAGCCTTTAAGTCTCTTTCCCATTCATGATCTGATTGGATTCCATTCGCTTTCTCATTCATTCTTTCATTTTTTTTCAGCAAATATTTACTGAGCATCTTCAGTGTGCCTTCCTTTAGAAGAGCTGGAGATGACTTTAAAAAATGCTGGGCATAGAGGAACAATTAAAAAACAGACCCCTCTGTCTCTGTTTCTCTCCCTCTCTCGTGTGTGTGTGTGTGTGTGTGTGTGTTTGAGTGTGTGTGTGTGTGTGTTTGAGTGTGTGTGTGTGTGTTTGAGTGTGTGTGTGTGTGTGAGAGAGAGAGAGAGAGAGAGAGAGAGAGAGAGAGAGTAAGAGAGTAATTCATTCGTTTTTAGAGAAATCCATTAACCTGCGCCTCAGGTTTCCCACCTGTAAAGCATAGAATCCTGGAACAGAGCTTAGACTATCAA